TTTCAGTCGCTTCTCATATCGACCCAGTTGCTCCTTCTGGGTGGACACCAACGCCTCCAGCTCCCTCTGTCGCTTATCCATTTCGCACCGAATGGGAATGAGTCGATTTACTTTTAGTTGGCTTAGTAATTCAATTTATTTCTCTCCCGTGGCATTTTTGCATTTCTTTCAATTAACAAATTTCAGCAGCTGGCATGCGGTCCTGCCAACTTGTCTTGTTTGCTCAGCACCTAAAATTCGCCGTATTTAATTCAAAAATTTGTAATGTTTTTTATTATTTAATAATTGTACAATAAATTAAAGTAGTTTCTTTTCTATTTTCTACAACACATGAAAGTAATTGGTTAAATTCAATCAATATAATAATAGATTTTTTTTATATTATATGGTATAAAATTAATGTATTTTACATTTAAGTGTTTTGGTTTGTTTAAAAGTGAATATATTCGTATTCTCTTGTTTGATTTGATTAAAAGTAGCCTAATTATAAAAAATTAGTTGTTTAGCCCAACACAATTTTATTCTATTCGACCTCCTCGTCCTTCAACATCTGCTCGATGAGTCGCCTACGTTCCTCAGCTTGGCGAAGCTTTCGCATGACGAGGTCCTCGTAGTCAGTGGATGATGCACTGCACCCGGTGGTGACTGACTTGGATGCTTGCTTGTCTGCCGCCGGTGGCGTTACCCATTCAAAGTGCAGTGGCTTCGCGGGATCGCCCTTCTCGTAGGCCAACACCATGTCGCAGGCTTCGCGCGTGGACAACTCCACCATGGCGCGTCCGCGTCGCTTGCTGTTGACCACCAGGGCCACCACGTCGCCGTACTTTTTCAGATACTTGAGCAGCTCCTCCTGCGTGTAATCCTGGCCGGATTCGGCTTTCCACTTCATCTTGATGCGGTGCTGGGCGGAATCGAACTGCGCCGGCTGTTGCTGGAGTTTCTGTTTCTCGGCGTGATTGCGCCGAAACTGCTCCTGCATGGCCCGCTGCTCCTCCTCCAGCAGGCGGGAACCCTCGCGTCGCAGCCGCTCGATCTGCTCCTGCAGCACCTCCTCGTCGCTTTTGGCCACCGTGCTGTAGGGTTGACTCTTCGCCAGCTTGTGCAGTGCCGCCCGTTCGCGTTCCTCCAGCTCCTGCTTCAGTTTCTGCCGCTTCCCGTCCAGCTGGCGGCTCCTTAGCTCCGCCGCCTTCTTGGCCTTCAGCACCTTGTCGTATGCAGCGCGTGCGGATTCATCCGTGAGGATTTCCAGGGCCTTGGACAACTCATGGAAGCTCTCGACTGCCTGCGGACTGTCCGGATTCTTGTCGGGATGACAGTCGAGGGCCTTTTTGCGGTACGCCTTGCGTATCTCATTTTGATCAGCCTCGAGGGAAATACCCAGGAGATCGTATAGATTCACGTCACTGTACTTTTTGCTGGCCATTTCGGTTTACTGTTTTATTTTACTTCTTATTTCACAACTAAAACATTGGTTTGTGTTCAAGTTTTTCTTCGCTTTGTAGTAGTTACTAACTACTCTAGCCAGCTGTAAATTAGCTAAAATATATTATTTTCTGAATAGACTATTGTTTCGATATATTTTAGGCGCAAGAGCGAGACTTATTAACTGCAGTTGGCGGTCCAAAAATGATAATAAAACATTTCCAATTGTTTACTGGATCAGCTGTTTACCGCAGCGAGTTGGCAGCCCCGTAACACAACGTGCCCATTTGTTTGGCGTGGATTTATCTTAATCATCGCAATAAAACTCAAATATAATGAACTTTAGGCGCTGAAGTTAGCAGAAAGTACGGCATGAGCATCTATCACGACGAGGTGGAGATCGAGGACTTCGAGTACGACGAGGAGGAGGAGATGTACTACTATCCCTGTCCATGCGGCGATCGATTTCAGATCTCCAAGGTAACTAGGCGTATACGCAACCTTTTTTGGGCCCTACGTATGTATATTATTTGGTAAATTTCCACTCTAGGAGGAGCTGATCGAGGGCGAGGAGGTGGCCACCTGCCCCAGCTGCTCCCTAGTCATCAAGGTCATATACGATCCGGTAAGTGACTCTGCCAGATCAACTAGCAATCCACAAGACACTTGAGCATGAAATTTTCTAAATTTTAGGACATGTTCAAGGCTGAAGAGGGTGAAGAAACTGCTCTGAACGAAAAGCTCAGCGACCTGAAGCTGGAGAAGAACTAGCACACAATTTTCTGTAATTAAATAGTTTTTATTTATATATTTTTATATATATAGACTTCATTTTAGTGTAAATAATACGTTGACTAGTAAAACAATGATTTCAAATTATGCAAGCTCGCAAAAACCGTTTCGATTTGTTATGGACTATTCGTTTGGGTGAATTACAAATGATTTGTACACACAATGCAGCATATCTAAAACTATAACTAAAACACAGGGTAAAAACATTCATATTGCTCCCGATACTTTTTGTTCTCAATGTTTTACAAGCAGCGGGCAATATGATATTCGAACGAAAAACAGACAATTTGGAGACACAAGCTAAAGGAACTTCAGCGTATCAGCTGTGGAAATGTGAGTAATACAGAGAGTTACATACAGGGGAAAGCGGTTGAAAAAATATATGAATAACATACAATTACCACTTTCTGCTTACGGCTTAGGAATTCGACTTAAACTTAGCACGAAAATATTGTTATGTTTCGTCATGCAGTGTCCACTGCATTGGATATTGAATTTTCTCTGTATCCGATTTCTTTTAGAGAGCGTGCTCGTTCAGCAAGTGAGTGGATGTGGAGGATGTGGACGCCGGATCCCAGTCTCCTCCAATATATGCGCCTAAGTGCCGTCTGCAACGTGCTCGTGATTCTACGGACTCTACTGCTCCAGCCAGGATCCAGTGACGGCATTGGGTGACTTAAGCTGTGGGCCGCAAGAGAAGTGAATAATACAGACACAATCCCATTTGCAGTCTGCTGCCATTCTCACCTTAATGTTGAACTGCTTCAGAGTGCTCTCCAGTGCCATGGCATTGCCCGAGAAGTAGGCAGCGATGGCATTGTGCAGCAGAATCAATTGCTTGTGCATTACCTTAATCTACCAACGGAATATCAATGGTTAGTCTTGCGAACGTATGTTTACTTCCGTGCCACTTGGCGTCACTTACGCGATTTTCGTCGAGGAATTGCATTTTGACCGCCACGTCAGAGCGCAGCTTCTCGTACTGCTCCTTGTGCTGCGCATAGCTGCGCTGGGTCTCCTCCAGAGCGGCAGCCGAGGGCGTAAGCTCCGGCTTGGTGTTCTCCAAGTCCATGCGGTAGGCATCGAATTCGATTCTGAAGACAGAAGAACATTTACAGCAAATGTAGTGGGAAATTGCTTTCATTTTATATAAATCGTATGCAGAGTTAAAAAAACTTTAAGGAATAAAAATGCCATTGTAGAGATTTTATATAAAGTGATTGGGAGTTATTGTTACTCAGTAATTACATTTTTTCAAGCAAACATGCGATAAGAAAGCAAAGCTAGTATAAGTCCGATTAAGATAAGGGCTGTAGCATACACATTTTTATAAAATGATTTATATTGAGTTTAAATTCAAATCGATGGTTTTTTCTCTATTTGTACCATCATATGGAAAGCGAATAACTTTGGTTACCTGGCCGTTTCGTACTGTCGTATCGTCAGCAGTGTGTCGTCGATCGTCTTGTTGCACAGCGTGTTTACCGACGAAATAAAGAAGTTGAGCGCATTGAGCAGCAGTTCGCCGTTCTTGGTGAGGTTGCGCTGCGTCTCCGAATTGCACGTGAACTCCTTCTGCAGCTCGGGATTCTTTTGTGCCAGATCGGCGAAGGAGTCGGCCAGGGCGTGCTGGGTGACGACCACGTGCTGGAAGTGCGAGCTAAAGGCCCGCGTTAACCTTAAGATGGACAGATACTTGCGCTGCGTCTCGCGCAACTGCTCAATCTGCGCTTCCAGTTCCGAGTCGACGGTGCGCTGCGATTTGCCCAACTTCTCCAGCATAATCTGTCGAGTACACTTATATGTCGATATACTCCAGTTTTTGAGACTGTCGATCTTGGAGGCGCTGGTGCGGATAATGCTGCCGCTCCCGCTGTCCGTGGGGCTCAGGATGCCGTTTCCAGATGGAGGGCTACTGGGCGACATGGGTGTGGTGGGTGCTGTACAAAAAGATTGATTTTTGGTCAGGTGGCCGAGGCATCAATGACTGTTAAATAGTTCACCTGAATGGTTCCTTAGCGGCAGACTGTTGGGGGCACCAAAAGGGCCGCCGACTCCACCGCCACCGCCTCCGCCACCGACTCCTCCGGCGATGCTGTGGCTGCTGGCGCTGCCAAGGACCAGGCTGCCGCCTTCTGTGCCTGTGTGCACCGCTCCACAGCTGTCGTTCAGCGAGGGCGCATCCTTCAGCATCTCGTGAATGCTGCGCTCGCGGTCCGTCATGGAGATTGCCGTCGTTAAGTTAAGTTCAACCAAATAATTGCCAGCGGAATTGCCTGTCTGCCCCTTTTGTGGGTGTGTGCCCGTGTGTGTGTGTGTGTGTGTTTGTTTCTTGGGCAACAGAGCAGGCGGTTTCACTTCGATTTCCACGCCAAAGGCGATGGCGCACGCTGGGCGAGGCGAGAATTTAGTAACCCCTGCCTGGACTCGTTAAAATTTTGAAAGTCCTCAAATTCCGGATAAAGTTCATCAAACTGTGTTCTCGAAAACTGAAAATCCGTGTGACTGTTCGCGAGTAGATGCTTAAATACCACACTTGTACTGCTTGGATACCGGCTATGGACTACGTATTTTAATCAACTGTACAAATGCCAGTTATTTGGTATTTACATACATTCCACGCAGCTCAGCGGAACTTTTTGAACTTATTCAAATTAATACTTTTTTTTTATTAATTCTGCATAAAGAAATGTCTTATTGCGTTTCCAACAACCGATCAAATTAACACTTAAATAAATGTAAGAAAATGTTTCCTATTAGAATAATAACAATCGACACTGGTAAATACTATACAAGTAGTCATATTCTGGTTGGCATTTTAGTGCCGACCAGCTATAGTCACACCAAAGTGGGAATTCTGTTTTATTTTTGGGGATTTTACAGAAATTGCGTCGTGCCTTCTTGCTTGGTTACTTAATTCGTTGAATTGCATTGTTGAAAGGCCAATAACCAGCGGGAAATGGTCTACGTGAACTTAATGCTAGGTCTGGGTATGGTTCTGGTATCCGTTGCCACGGCCTTCTATCTCAACAGTCGCCACACGTTGGAGCCCAGGTTGGAGCCCAGGTTGGTTGGGATGGAAACGTTCTGAGTGTCATCATGCTAAAATCTCTTGTTTCGTTTCAGACCGCGTTGCGCCGTGTGCCTGGAGGAAATGTTTTATGGCGACATGCACTACATGAAGTGCGGACATGCCCTGCACAAAGCCTGCTTCCAGGAGTTCCGCTATGTTAATAAAAACTGCTTTGTCTGCAATAAGTTGATCAATGCCAATTTACCCGGCGACTTGTGCACGATTTGTTTTGATCCCCTATATAAATCGAACATGAGCCATCTAATTTGCAATCACGCTTTGCATACAAAGTGCCTCAAGGAGTATGTGGATAAGGGGGCCCGCAACTGCCCGGTCTGCAGAATGGAACTCGAAGGCACACGTATTTCCTAGGAATTGTCCAGCTAAGCAAAGACGTTCTTCAACACAAGCCCGCTTCATAGCTGACCCACACAAAGCGTATATCAGCATAAGCATGTGCTAGACATAAGAAAACAAAGAGAATCATATAAGCATTCAGAGGAAGACTGTTAAAGAATTTAATTTTCAAATCTAATAAACGTAAGATTTCTTAAAAGATGCCGTGATTTGCGCTTAGTTCGTATTAAGTTATCGTATATGTATGTATTTTTATTAAGTAAACTTTTAATCGTTCATACATGGTAAGCCTTATTTCGTTACGTATTCATACCAATACAAGCCGATCTCAGGCGAATTTTTGTCTAGAATGAAACAAATCTTTTTTTAAAATATTTATTTGAATTCTGAAAATATTATTTAGCCAGTGTGTACACACCAAGAATATGCAGGACGTAAACAAACAGCAGCTGATGTGATTCTTCTTCGTCTTCTTTGCCATTCACTCAAATATAATGCAGCGTAACATAGTGGAGTTTTTGAAAATATTTTCATATTGCTTGGTTTATTTGATATGTCTGAGCTGCGCTCGGTTTGCCGAACTTGTGGCAAAAATGTGGCCAATTCTCAGGCCAGGGCCACCAAACTGTTCGACAAATGCAACTTTCACCTAATTAGTTTGCTGGAAAATATCACCGATATGTATGTACGTATGCAAATAAAATTGAACCATGCCGTCTATTAAATTGATTTAAACGATTGTTTAGCTGGACTCTGATACTACTCTGCCATATCTCATTTGCCAATGGTGCAAACAGCAGCTGGACAGGATTTGGGCATTTCGCAGTAAGTGCTTGGAGGTCTACAAGTCCTTTTTGGCCGTCAATAGGAAACTTCTGCGACAAAAGGCGGTAGTTGACGAGGAACTCGCTGAACTGAATGATGAGAAGCTACTGCAGGATATGCGGGCCCACAAGGATCAGGAAATGGCAGATACAGCTGGGCTTCTGCGGGAAGATCAAAATGATAACGAAGAAGAGGACCCAGAAGAAGGTACTCAGAATGAGGGCAATCTAGAGGAACCACTACAAACAGTGCAGGCAAAACATTATCAGGAGCAGCTCCATAATACTTCCGGCACCTCGAAGGGAGTAGGCACCCGCGTACCCAAGCGTGCTAAGCGCAACTCCAAGTCCTGGTTCTGTGACCAGTGCGGCGGCGTGTTCAAGTCCTCCACCTACCTCAAGCTGCACCTACAGCGGCACACCGGCCACAAACCCTTTGAGTGCGACATTTGCCAGGCCAAGTACTACACGGAGAATGAGATGCGCCGCCACAGGATCCTTCACACGGACGCCAGGCCGTATGCTTGCCGATTCTGCCACAAGACCTACCGAGGATGCAGCAGTAAAGTGGTCCACGAGCGAACTCACACCAACGAGCGTCCCTTTCAGTGCCAGTATTGCGACAAGGCCTTCACCTCCACGTCTACGCGCCAAAAACATGAGATGTTGCACACCAATCAGCGGAAGTACCAGTAAGTAGGGGAGCACTAGCTGTTTTGCACGGAATATGTGTGTATGTGTAAACCGACTGCATTTTGCAGCTGTGAGATCTGCGACCAGTGGTTCCTGCGCTCCTCCCATTTGACCTTGCACCAAAATACTAAACTTCACCAGCGAAGAGCTCAACGTGCTAGGACTGTCTAGAATACAAGTGGACAAACTTAAGTTAAGTTTCTAAGACTGTCGAAAATAAAAGTATACTATAATACTTTTAAATAAATAAATAAAGAAATTTGGATTTGTTGCTGATGAATCTGTTGAAACGTAGAAATAAACAAAATGTATACATAACTTATACGAAGAAGATCACAGGTTTTCTTAACTTTTAAAAAATAGTTTTGTTCTTAAAATAATTCTTATCACTAAACTGAAATTTTAAAATTCGATGGAATGGCCGCCCTGCGGGGGAATGTCAATTCAGGGCTGCAAAACGAAATCGACTTTGCAAATCGTGTTGCTGCAAAATGCGAATTTCAGTTTTCTTGTTCTTCCGTCCAAACAAACAGAAAAATATACACTTCCAATCGATCAGGGAAGGGTACTGTGTTATCTCATTCCACAAGCCATGAGGTACATTTGCAGGACCTGTTCGCGTATGGCCGATCCCGCGGCAGCCAAGAATCTCTTCGAGCCATCAAGCTCTTCCGTTTTGCGCCAAATAGAGACCTTAACCAATTTGCAGGTGAGTGTGATAAAGTTGCACACACAAAAAACCGAATGAAAGCTGAGCTCTGTAATTACTTTGCAGCTGAAAGAGTACGACAAGTTGCCCAGGTTCATGTGCCAGGACTGCCAGCACGACCTGCAGATTGCCATCGACTTTCGCCGAGTTTGCATCGAGGCCCAAGAGCTCCTCGAACTTCAGCTGAGGCAGGTGGAAAAGGAGGAGGAGGCATTCGAGAGCCTGGCGGAACAATGGTTGGATGACTGTCCGGAGGAGTTATCCAATTCGTCGCCAACTCTGCAGGTCTTCGATCCTGAGCCACAAGACCATGGTGTAATGGCTGCCATAGCGACCACACCAAGAACCGAGTGCAGGAATGAATTCCAGCCAGTGGCTAGAACGCATAGTTTTCCAGAAGATTCTACAGATAGCCAGTTGTCGGATGAGCACTTTGACATAGTACTCTCCCCCCAATCGGAACCGGCAAGTCCTCCAGAAAGTGAAGCTATCGACAATCCGGACACTTCCAGTCACACCTGCAGCAAGTGTGGCCTCGAATTCGAAAACGTAGACGAACTGAAGCTGCACAAGTACCATCTGCACGACGTCCCTCCAGATACCAAGTAAATAATGTGCTTTACACATCAGCACTCTTTACACAGTCATACTCTACGCATTACTGCATGATTATCCCTTTTTATTCATTCAAAACGTGTAGAAATCCTAAAAGAGAAGAAATTCCCTCAGGGCACTAAATATATTTAGGTTACATTGTTAAATTGGCTATTAGCTCACATTCACTCCGTATTAATTTTCTTTTCTGTTTTGATTTTTATTTTAGAACGATTTTCCATATGATTCCATATATTCCTGCTGCTTTGATGGGAATCAAAGACGGAGCATTTAGAAATGGAAAATGAGATTTTTCAAGAATCCCCTAAACCCTATCACTGAACGACTAGTACAGTCGTCCACAGCTTATTCTAGTATGAGAGAAGCAACCAATTAATTGCCACAAATAACACTTTTTTCCTTACAGGTTCGTTTGTGACCATTGCGACGAGGGCTTCCGATCCGCAGCCGCACTCACGCGGCACTGCAACATAATTAATCTTCCATTGACGGTAATTACTTCGTTATAATATGCTTAACCCGTATACGGTTTAATAAAGGCGTGTATTTTTTTTAAACACTTCAGCACCCCTGCTCCAAGTGCAAGAGCAAATTCCACAATCAGATCCTGCTGCAGACCCACAAGGAGCGTTGTCCAAGGCCGGCGGCTGCCCAGCATGTGTGCGACATATGTGGCAAGCGGCTGACCACGGCCTTCAATCTGAAGAATCACCTGGTACGCCACGCAGGAACACGACCGCACAAATGCGGCCAGTGCAGCGCGTCCTTTTACACAGCGGCAGAACTCTGTTCCCACCAGAAAACCCACACAACCGAGCGTCCCTACACCTGTCGCTACAACTGTGGTAAAGCCTTCCGTTTTTGCAGCGCCCGCAGCATGCACGAAAGGTAAAATTTCCTCCCTCAGAACTCCACCACCCACTCACATGACCCATCACATCTATTCCGCAGGGTTCACATGGACGCCAGCAAGCGTATCTACCAGTGCGAGTACTGCCCCAAGTCATATGTAACACCCAGCGAGTGCAGGACCCATCAGAAGTATCACAACTTGACTCGCGATCACGGGTACGATTTCCAATTTTTTAACTATTTAAGAAAAATTCAAATAGTTTTTAACTATTTAAGCAAAAAAACAAATAGGAAGGATTTCAATGCCTACGAACAAACACTGAATAAACCATTTTTTTCACACCCAATCTCTTCCAGTTGCGAAACATGCCGCATGAGCTTCAAGACAGTCAAGCACTACAGATCCCACTTAAAGTCCAATGCCCACAAAACTCTGGAAGCGCGCGCTAAAGCCGCTGATTCCTCCAATTCCGGTCGAAGAAATTGTTCAACGAATTGAATTCATTATTGTCAGTTGCATTTTAATAATATATACCGAATTGATATTAATAAAGCTTCCGTTCCGCATTCATGTTCAAGTTCCTTGCATCTACCATCACCTAGAAAACCTTGGTTCTCTCAATCACCTTCTCGTTGTCGTAGATCTCCTTGGCGTAGCACAGATTGGGATAGTCATAGGCGGCTCCATATCGGTTCTTGCACCCGGTGGTGGACTTCTCTCCCGGAGTGTACACAGGCTGACCCACAATGTTCGAGGTGGCGAAGTTGCAGGTGAGTACGAAGTGGTTGTAAAAGTCGCGGGTGAAGCGCACGGCGGCACATCCCACATGGGTGTTCTTCTCGGCCACCGCGATTGTGAACTTGCTCACAGCCTGCTTGGGAAGTTCCTCCGGGAAGCTGGCGAGGATCTCGGGAGAAGCATTCGAGCGCTCAGCAAACCAGTTCTCGATCTGCTCCTTTATTATTTCCGCATCGGTGTACTCCGTCTCGGCTCCACTGTACTGGAAAATGGCGTTGTTCTGGCCGGCGTATGCGAATCTCTCGGTGCTGCGACACTTATCTGGCAGCGATTCACAAGTCTTCACGTTCAAGAGGGCCAGGTGGGAGAGCTCCTCGCACCAGGACATCTTGGCCATGCGAATCGCCTTGGGCAAGCCTTCTATTTTGCCTCCAGCCACGTTGTTGCGCAGCTCGTTGAAGAGGGTCAGGATGAGCTTGTGATGCGGCTCGATCTTCACCTCCCGCACGTCCTTGGGGCAGTTTTCACTGAAGTTCTGGGCGGAGAAGGGTGAGCACCAACAGGATTTGGGTACCTATCCCTACTTACTCCCTTATTATTGCAGGCAATGTGCTTGTCCAGGCAAGTGGGCAGGGCACAGTAGTCCGCTGCGAGGCTCAATTCCAGCAGGGAAGTCAGCAGAATCAGACACTTGATGGCCATGTTCAGCGCTGGTTGTGGACTGAGGCTAAGCTACCCAGAGTACTCTATTTATAGGATGGATATGGTAATCGAACCGCAGTTGCAACATGTCTTCCACTGTTTCCACAGCTGGGATTCCAGGAATGTCTGGCAAGGAACAAGTGGTCTAGCTCTATTCGAATGCCATATAAAAGCAGACCCATTTGCTGTGCAATCCAGTAGCCAATAACCAGCACCATGACATTCCCCAAGGTTTTCAAAGTGTTTCTTCTAGCTGTGGTTGCCATTTCCTCTGCTGTGGATTATTGTGCGCTCCCTACCTGTCTGGACAAGCATGTGGCCTGTAACAACAAGGGAGTAAGAGCATATAACATATTCATAGGCAGTCACACGGTAATGTCCTATATCCCCACCAGAACTTCAGTGAAAACTGCCCCAAGGACGTGCGAGCGGTGAAGATCGAGCCGCACCACAAACTCATCCTCAATCTCTTCAACGAGCTGCGCAACAACGTGGCTGGAGGCAAAATAGAAGGCTTGCCCAAGGCGATTCGCATGGCCAAGATGTCCTGGTGCGAGGAGCTCTCCCACCTGGCCCTCTTGAACGTGAAGACTTGTGAATCGCTGCCAGATAAGTGTCGCAGCACCGAGAGATTCGCCTACGCCGGTCAGAACAACGCCATTTTCCAGTACAGTGGAGCCGAGACGGAGTACACCGATGCGGAAATAATAAAGGAGCAGATCGAGAACTGGTTTGCTGAGCGCTCGAATGCTTCTCCCGAGATCCTCGCCAGCTTCCCGGAGGAGCTTCCCAAGCAGGCTGTGAGCAAGTTCACAATCGCGGTGGCCGAGAAGAACACCCATGTGGGATGTGCCGCCGTGCGCTTCACCCGCGACTTTTACAACCACTTCGTACTCACCTGCAACTTCGCCACCTCGAACATTGTGGGTCAGCCTGTGTACACTCCGGGAGAGAAGTCCACCACCGGGTGCAAGAACCGATATGGAGCCGCCTATGACTATCCCGATCTGTGCTACGCCAAGGAGATCTACGACAACGAAAAGGTCATTGAGAACGCAAAGGTATTCTAGACCCTTTTCCCTTCTGAGCATTATCCCAGGTATCTGTATCCATAATTAAGTTGGCAAATAAAAAGCTAATAAAGCTTTACACTTCAAAACTCGAGCGTTCATTTTAGAGATTTAGGATGGTTCTGAAAATTTCGGCACTAGTTGGTAAAACAAAACGTATGAGTTGTTTATTTTAGTCTAAATTGATTTATTTTAGTATATCATATCATGCGAGAGGTATTCATCATCTTGTCGTCTGCTTCGACAGCTTTCGTTTGGATGTTCAACTTGTACAATTAAAACACACAATATCACAATCTTACGCAGGTATACAAAACAATATCTAATTTGGCGGGCTTGGACGCTCGGGAATACTGGCTAGAGTCCAGCCCTCCAGTGATTCTATCCATTTGGATGGGTATGAACCTTAGATGATGCAATAAATAGGGTTTCTGATTGCTTAGGTGTAAGTGTTCCTGCCGATGTCATCTAGTGATTTTTAGAGAGGGACGTCGTGCAATCAGATAGTGTTTAGTTAGTCAATGACTTTGTACTAAAATGAAGAATAAATCAAAAGGGGAAATAAATAAGGTGATCGAATCATATGAAAACTAAATAGACAGTAATGGATATGGTGTGTTCAAGTGAATGTGAATTGCCATGTGGAAACGAAAAGCATTTGAAAATATGTATACAAAAAGAAGAAACAATTGTATTGGGATTGGACTTCAAGGTTTCTTGTGTACGCGTTACAACAACTTAAACTACAGCTCGTATTAACTAAGTAGGAACTGTCCATTACTTCTCCTTGGGCGCCTTGTCGAACAGGTACTCCTTGGCCATGCTGTAGGCCAGACCGAGGGTCAGGCATCCGACGACGGTTCCCTGGGCGGCCACTCGCAGCTGCATGAGGAAGACGCTGGTGCTCATCGTTCCACGGTTCCGGTACTTGTACGCTCCAATCAATCCGGCGGCTACGAACCCGCCAATACCTGTGAGTGAAAGTGCAAATCGGTGATTAGTTTTTATTGTTCATGCGGCGGATGGCTTGTTGTTGCTACATAGCTGGCTGATAAAACCCAGACGTCGCACAAATACAAACACCCAAATAAATACAATTACATACATATGTGAATATAGTGCTGCCAAATATGAAGCTACTAATTTAGAGAATTTTCCAATGAAATCTTTTATATTAGAAGTAATTTAACATGTTTGACTACACAGGAATGTAAAAGTAAGTAAATAATTACATTTCAATCTTCATCTTTTTTAGTAACTCGAATACTTCCAGAAACTACATATTTTATAATGCTTTTTAAGAAAAAATGGACTATGCATATGAATAAGCAATTGGGATTTTAGATCAAAGTCGTATCTTCGAAAACTATTCAAAAAATTGTGTGGTGTGTTGCTCTTTCTGTTATCCTTTTAAAAGCTAGATCAGTTAAATCGGTCAAATAGGCAACACTTGTCAGCGTCAGCTGTTAGTTGTCACATACGTATGTGCACGCAGACAAGCGAGCTGAACATTCGAACACGCGCCAAGATCAGATGGCGACGTGACGTCACGGATGTGATAATCCCATTTCGCTTGCACTTCGTTTGAATTGCGAAATACTCCTGTTACATCATTCGCTCTCCAGAATAAGTAACGATCACACAGCATTTCCTGTTATGTCACGCAAAAGTTTCAAAAAGTGACCCCAAAATTGCCGTTAACCTCATGGCCAAGGTCAAGATTAGCCGACTTCCCCGCACACGCATCGTAAATTTGTATCGATATGTATGTATTTAGCTGGCTGCAAAGCCAAAAGTTTCCATGTGACGTCACGACGGCAAAACTTCCGCTGTGCGTAAATTTTCAGAACTCACCCACAAGCATGAAGGGCGACTCTTTGGCTTTCCTAGAGAGTTTGTTGGCCTGGGCGGCATCCTCCTCACTGTCGAAAAGGGACTTGGAACTCATTGTCACGAATATTATATTATGTACGCGGGTGGTTCGGATCGGTTTAATCGCTTGCTTTGCAACGTTCGCGAAACTTTCTGCAATGAGCAGACTCGAGCAATGTGACCAGCGCGAAACATATCGCTCACAGAAAAGTTGGCAAGAATAAAAATATTCAAATGTTTAAAAATCCATTTAAGTTATATAGTTTTGCTAATTTGTAAAAACTAAGCGTAAATATCCATTCAGTTTATTATTAAACATTTAATTGCATTTTTGTATACAACTACGTCTAAGCAGGTAATCGATAGTTTGTTATGGCCACACTGCACGGGAAAATACTGAAAAACCGCTCTCAGCTGTTTGCAAGCTTTCCGCGCTTTTCCGCCAGGTGACGCTTTTGCCGTTTCTGTCATGACATAAGAAATTGGTATTTTTTAAGGGAAAGGGGCGGACTGCAGAAATCGACGTTGCTTTGCCTTGGCCGCTAACTCTGTTTAAAATTCGAGTGCTTTGATATAAATTGACAAGTAGAAAAACCGCCGACCCGAAATTCGCGGAACAGAGTCGCAGCAATGACGGGAATAATTTCGATCGTAACGAGACGGCTGCCCCAAACGCTGGGAATGCGAGCCCTGCGGAGTAATGAGGTAAAAATCTGACTGGGATGGGAATTACCGGGTGGAGGGGGTACGTCTGGTGTGTGATATATGCTACATATGGCGATATATATACATATGTATGTACATTTTTATCCCAAATTCACTGCCCGCCTGGCACTCGCCGATTATGTAATTGTATGGGTTTGTGTGCGTGCGCCGCTGAAAAATGGGAAAAACTTTTGTTTGGGACGCCCGCTGCACGTGATCCGTCAGCCGTCATCTCCTCCTGATTGTGCAATCACTAATAATCGCTTCTTTTCGCCAGCTGAAGCGCTGCATCCGCCAATACTCACGGTTAGTTGCCTGTGCCGCGCAGCAGCAACAACTGTTCCGCCAAGATGGCTCCAATCGCTGCCAGGAGGCCACCAGGTAAGTGCTTCACTATCCACGAGAGACCCTTCATCCAGAGTCGTTCATTTCTAGGCTTCTCACCTGGCAGGGTATCCACACCACGTCGAGCATGTGGTCGGAGCAGACCATCAATGTGCCACCCTTTGCGGACTCCATCGCCGAGGGTGACATCAAGTAAGACCAGGGCAGAGAGCTGGTTTCAAGCAACAGGTTTATGCGCATGCATTAACGATCAATTCCTGCAACAGGTTTACTTGCAAGGTGGGTGATTCATTCGCCGCTGACGAGGCCGTCATGGAAATCGAGACCGACAAGACGACAGTGGCTGTGCCAGCTCCCTTTGCCGGTACTCTGACCGACATTCTGGTGAAGGATGGCGACACCGTCAAGCCCGGACAGGCTCTGTTCAAAATTAAGCCCGGTGCAGCGCCCGCCAAGGCAGCTGCTCCAGCGGCTGCTGCACCCGCTCCTGCTGCCCCCAAAGCAGCCCCAGCTCCCGCTGCTGCAGCCAAGCCGGCTCCCCCACCACCAGCCGCCGGCGCACCTAAGCCACCACCACCGCCACCACCAAAGGCAGCCCCTCGACCAGCACCACCTGCTCCAGTGGCCTCGCTCAAGCCGGCCGTCGCCCAGGTGAAGGTGCCACCAGCGGACGGATCGCGGCAAATCCTAGGCACAAGGTCCGAGCAACGTGTCAAGATGAACCGCATGCGTCAGAAGATTGCCGCCCGCTTGAAGGATGCCCAAAACACATGTGCTATGCTCACCACTTTTAACGAGATCGATATGAGGTAAGTGAAAATGATTTCATATTTGTGTATTTCTTAGCTTTATTTCAATTAAAAATTGACGTTTGTAAAATATGAAATTATTATATTTAGCTATGCCATGGACTTCCGTAAGCAGAATTTGGATGCGTTTACTAAGAAGTATGGCATTAAGCTTGGCTTTATGTCCATCTTTGCGAAGGCTAGTGCCTATGCGCTGCAGGATCAGCCCGTAGTGAACGCCGTCATCGATGGCACGGTAAACAAGCCTCCACCCCGCACTCCGCTTATTATTTCCTTATCGCCCGTGACGTAGGTTAAAGTGCCATGCTGTTTAAAATGCCCTTATCTGGCGAGCATGAAGCCGTTATTTCCCGTGGCGATATGATGAGTGTGGAATATTTTGTGTTGCCAGCCTCTTATAACTGCTATCATTTTGCAGGACATCGTGTACCGCGACTACGTTGATATCTCTGTGGCCGTGGCTACGCCTCGTGGGTTGGTGGTACCGGTCATCCGAAACGTGGAGGGCATGAACTATGCGGATATCGAGATCGCGCTGGCCGGTTTGGCCGACAAGGCAAGGCGGGATGCCATCACCGTGGAGGACATGGACGGCGGCACCTTCACCATCAGCAATGGAGGAGTGTTTGGATCCCTGATGGGCACGCCCATCATCAATCCGCCACAGAGTGCCATTCTTGGTATGCACGGCATCTTTGAGCGACCAATTGCTGTCAAGGGCGAGGTGAGCGAACCACCACATACGCATATTTATCAGCTATGTTAATCATTGTATTCTTCAACCAGGTCAAGGTACGACCAATGATGTACATCGCCCTGACCTACGATCACCGAATCATTGATGGACGTGAGGCGGTCCTGTTCCTGCGAAAAATAAAGGCTGCTGTAGAGAACCCAGCAATCATTGTTGCCGGATTGTAAAGTGAATTGTCTTAAAACACGTCCGCGGCCTAAATTTGATATTAGCCATTTTAATTTGAAATTGTCTTTGGTTATTTATTATTTCATTTTGCCAGCGTCACAACAAATAGAAAATCAACACAAATTCGAACTACTCTTAGCATCGGAAGTAGTATAATAAATTAAACGTGGATCTTTTCTTAAATATAAACTGTGCACTGAATGTTATTGTTAATCTAAGACGCTGCGATGGAATGTCGTAATAAATCGATGACGAATATTGACCAACTGCAACGCATTTGATTGTTGAAGAAAGTGGTTGTCTTTTGTAATAACGACCTTTATTGGCACCTTGTAGTGGCACTAAAGTAGATCGTCTTGAATGTCTCCGTAGTCTTATCTGAAGCAATATGTACCTCTTAATACAAACTGTAAACAGGCTTATCAAATAATTTGTC